TCGTCCAGTAACAGACCTCTGCGAGATGAGGAGATAATCTCACTACGTAATTATGGTAAGACACAAACCTTATTTTTAACAATCGCTGATGTAAAATACCTATTGTAATCAAAACCAGAACTTTTTTATTGCTTATGTGGGTAGATGAGCTTACGGCTCACCTGGTGTTAAGTGGTGACTGGAACCCATAGACATCTACAACGTTAATGCGCCACCCATCTTGAGATATAAGTTCTAAGGTCTCAATATACTAACAACGGCTACCCAACCCTTCAAACCGAAATGCATTACTGCATCACGGCAGAAATAGGCAGGACGGTGGTACCTACCCGTGCGGACTCACAAGAGGTCCTACCACTTGTAACTTATTTCCTTACAGGCAGCGAGGAAGACTCGGATAGTGAGAGCGAGGGGATTGCGTGGCCAACGATTTCGCCAACAATTATATACCTTAGCATAAAACCTGGCTGTTGATGAAAGCCACACTATGTGGAAAGGTTGGCTTGACATCAATCAATTCATACGAAACAAAGCAGCGACAGTTGGAATCAAGGTCATCAGGTTTGAGCCCCGTTAGCTCACCTACTAGTTAAGGCGACGCTGCTATAGCGTACCAAGGCTTAGGTAAGAAAAAAAAAATGGAATCAAGACGTATGAAGTCTGTAAGTCCAATAGTGGATATTTGTGGCGATAAGAAGTTCACGCAGACCACGGGCCCTCGACACTTCAAGAAGATGGTCTAATCTCGGGAATAGTACCGTCTCTTGTGCTCAGATTTTTTATTTTTATTTTTTTAATTGGAATATGCTCCGTGGAACGTCCTGTAACGTCACGGAATCAAACTCTGATCCTAATACCTTTCAACTGACGCCAAGGAACTGGAGTATCATCGATAGACCCCAGAATTCTAGTCTTCTGAATCACCATAATTTAAAAGATACGTATCATTCTTTAACTGTAATATTTCGACGCACAACTATCGTACGATTTACCCTCATTAATTTTGTAATTAGAATAACCTTTTGTAACATTCTAAATAAGTATTTTAAGTGTTCTCTTTTTTATATAGTTATTTTCTTTTATTTTGTATTTGTGTGCTTTAGATTAATATATTATGTGACTGCACTTCATTTTATTTATTTATTTAAAAGCGAGTTGGGCAATCGCCTGATGTCCGTATTTGCTGAATGCACATCGGGTGACCCCATGCGTCATAGCAGAAACTGCACCATTGCAGATTTAGCAATAAGTTTAGTTAATAGATATATTGTAATTGTAAATTAGTCTTGTAATAAATACATTTGAACCAATAAACATTGTTTTAATTAAATAAATTCTTTTTTAATAATTATCTCATTTGCCGTAACTTAACTGGCGCAGTCGGTAAGATCGCGACACTTGCCTTGAATAGAACTCTTCAAGCTTGAGTGAACGGTATCAATCGTTATTTTCGCGAGCTCATATAACGGACGGACGGCGACTATCATTTAGCGGGAGTTCCGGAGAATTGGGAGTCCTGCTGTACTACAAGGCCCGGTTGGAGATGCAAGGGAAATTGGGGTGAGTGCAAGTTGTATTCCCAGTTTCCTGTGCTATATTTCCTGCTGTTATATCTTGAATTTTATGTGTGTTTGTGTATAGACTAAAATCGTTATAAAAAAGCACTACATACACTTGAGTAGGTGAATTTGATAGGTATTTTTTTATATGCATATGTCAATGACACAATTGTAATTAGCTTGGATAGCAATATTATAAATCATACGTTCTTATTGTTTGCTAAAATCGCGGATCATATAACGTTGCTGATAATTCATTTTCACGTTTTTATCGTACAGAATAAGTAGAGTGCTAGCTAATAATCTTACTTAAAAGATTATTACAAAGCTATTTAATTTTGCGTTTTATAGTTTTGTGTTGTATAGCTAATAAAGATGGCAATGGCAAACATCGAACTAGCATATTTTAAGTTCGTTTCTGAACTGTTACCTAAGTACGATGGTAACCCTAAAACATTAAAGAAGTAGAAAATTTTATATCATTACTGGATCAACAAGTTAGGGTACACACACCTTGCTCTGATTAGCTTAATTAAGAGTAAACTGAGCGATACTGCAATTTGTGCAATAGCTTCCGAAGGAAACGTGGATAATTGGAAATCTATTAAAACAGCGTTAACGCGTAGATTAGGCGAACCACGCAACGAAATACAATTGATGCAAGAATTGATAAGGTTGCGTCGCAATAAGAACGAAGACGCGGAGTCATTTAGTAAGCGTTTGCGAGAAATATTCGACACATTAAACATGGTAGGTAGACACACAGACAAGTTATACAACGAAAGTATGGTAATAGATCAATACGTAAGTCACTTAGACTTGATTTCAAAACCCTCGACTCTGGAAGCAGCTTTAGTAACAGCTAGACAAGAGGAGGCGCGATTAGCGTTTAATAGATTTAATAACAGTTTTAGTTCATTAAATATACAACATAAACAAAAGGAAATACCTAAGTCTAACCAAATCTCTTATCCGGTAAGTAGCCTTCCCCCGCGCAATAGCTGGAACCCGGAGTTAAAACCACAACAAGGGCCAACCATGCCGTCTTGGAGGAGTGGTCCGGCATCAGGTAATGTGAGACCTAGCGGATCAGGTACTTTTCGGAATACAGGCAACTTTAGACCACAGCTAAATGTACCTCGACAGCAAGTAAACCCACCACACAGAGTATCCGACGTCACTATGAGGTCAGTAAACAAGCCTGAAAAACCGCACTTTGCACCGGAAGAAATGTTCTACACACAGCATAGCCAGGAGCAGTATTACACTGACAGTTACGACCCGTATTACTGTGCTGAGTACTATAACCATAACATGCAATAACAGTGACCAAAACTATGATTATACGCCAGATACATCAGGAGAAGGATCAAATCAACAGGATTTTTCTCAGGACGAGGACCAATCGAACCTCAGCTGATAAAGATTGTTGACCTCAACTACCACGGCAAAGACCACCTCCCTTATATCGAATTGCCGGAGTTTCAAGGTAATTTTTTATTAGATACTGGTGCCTCACGTTGTATGATATCACCGGATGTAATAGCCGGTACTAGCCTCGAACACTGCATCAAGCGTGAGCCATTTACAGTAAAAACCGCGCATGCTACTTCTCGTCACGAGCACGTTGCAATTTTACCTTTACACTACCTGTTCAACACCGATATACAACCATAAATTTTTATTATTCGATTTTGACCCCAAATATAAGGGCCCTATTGGTATGGAATTGTTTAAAAAATTAGGTTATAATATATAATAGATTTCAAAAACAAAGTGTTGCGAACATTTAATACTGAAATACCAATCTATTTCGACTATCCTGTAAAACAAGTTAAAATAGAATCGAATTGCGAGAGATTCATAACGGTTAAAACAAATTACACCGATAGTTATTATATTTGTGACGATTTCACTTTGTCTACAGGATTAAAGTCACCAGCCGCGGTAGTGACAGTAAAAAATGGGATTTTCAGGATGTCTTCTATAATCAATTATAATGATATACAGCAAATAGTAAGTAACAATCGTATGCTAGCCCTAAGCCCATTACCGTCACAGTTGATAGAAAACAGTCAGACGTACGAAATTAACAAAATTGGGACGGAAACTGACATAGATCAAGAACTTTGTTAAAATTTAAAGAAAATTCGTACCAGTCACATGAACGAAAAAGAAAAACGGGAAATTTCTAAAATCTGCTATCAGTACTGTGACATATTCTACTGAAAACATTCCTTTATCGTTTACCCATACAGTAAAACACGAATTAAGACTAACTGACAACACCCCCATCTTTGTACGAAGTTACAGGCAGGCTCCCCAACAACGAACAGAGATACAAAAATAGGTAGATAATCTATTAAAACAACGAATAATTAGGGAAAGTATCTCTCCTTGGTCATGCCCTGTACACATTGTTCCAAAAAAACCGGATGCATCAGGAAAAGTTAACTGGAGACTTGTTATTGACTATTTAGAAGACTTATGGCAATTTTCACCGACATTTAGGGATCCCTTAACTGTATTTAAGGAGCCCCTAATTAAAAATTCGTTATGTGTCCTTTATGTGTCTCCTAAGTTCTTAAAATGCTCCCTAAATTTAGGAACCCGATTTTTCGTTTCTTAACTGTCTCCTAACACTAGAAGACAGTTTTATGTCTGCTGTCATCTATTTCAATACGTAACATTCAAAAGGTTTGAAAACGATTTCTACAATGGACGATGATTTAACTCATTTTTAGAAAGTTTGGAAGTAGTTGAGTCTTTACACTCAGTTTCTAGTCATTCTGTACTTAAAAGGCCACGCTTGTATCGTCAGAGAACTGAAGATTTCGGAAAATACGATAACAAAGACTTTGTCTTTATAGGCTATAAAAAGAAACTGATATTTTTTTAGAAAAAAAAATATTTTCCACTTATGTATACTCAATGATATTACATAATAATATTACATGCCGACACAATTCGATAGGCACTTACATAATATTGTCTACTTAAAAAAAAAGATTGTATGTCAGTATGTTAATAGATTTTGTTGTAAATATATATTTACAGCATACTTTTGACCATTTCTATATTAATAAACTGTTCCTTGTTTCAGAAATCAGTCAGTGACACCTTTGACCCAGCTCTTGTGCACGTTAAGATACTTTGCCACTGGTATTTTTTTGTTAACTGTTGGAGATTTGTGTGAAATTAGTGTGGCTACTAGTAGTCGCATCATCAAAAGAGTTACAAATGCTATAGTGACCTTACAAAAAGAATTCATACGGTTCCCAAACTCGCAAAAAGAGATCTCCACAGTCAAAGGACAGTTTTACAAAATAGCAAAATTTCCTAACGTTCTCGGTTGTATTGATTGTTCGCATGTGAAAATTCAATCACCTGGTAATTTAAACTTTTTCTTTAGTACTGGTCAAATTGATCAGTGAACCCAAACTTTGCAAGTGAAGTCTCCACAAAGGGACCTTTAAAAATGTTCTTATCATGTATTTATTACTAGGTGTTGATGATGCAGAGATATTTAGGAATCGCAAGTCCTATATGTCTATTAATGTGCAGACTATAAGTGATGCCAACTTATTAATAACAGATCTTGTTGCTCGCTGGCTAGGCTCAACACATGACTCTACCATACACCAAAACAGTCAAAGACACCGAGTGTTTGAAAGTGGAGCTTATAACGTTGCATATCTCTTAGGGGACAGTGGATATCCTTTGAAGGTAAGGTTTGCATGCAAAACTAATACAGAAACAGAGACAACATTGCATGTTTATACGTATACAGCTAGGTATGTTGTAAAATAAAAAGCTAATGACCAATCAACAACCAGTATAATATTTATAATTAAGGATCTAGCAATCACAATTTTACTTTGTTTTTTCTTTATGCAATCCAAACACAGTTGGTATGTTTATATTTCTACCTGTAAAAAAGGTACATTCATTACTATATTAAAAAATAAAATAAAATAATACATTTTCTTTCAGAGTCATCTTTTGACTCCGTACTTGAACCCTTCAACTCATGGAGAATGAAAGTATAATGAAGCTCACATAAAAACAAGGAACATTGTTGAACGTCAGTATGGTGTTTTAAAAAGAAGATTCCCTGTTTTCGCTGTATGTTTAAGGTTAAAACTGACAACTTTTGTGCACGTTATATTGACCTGTTGTATCTTGCACAATATATCTATATATATAAAAGAAAATCGTGTTAGTTACACTATTTATAACTCAAGAACGGCTGAACTGATTTGGATTTGGATTTGGCTGAAAATTGGTGGGGAGGTAGCTTAGAACCAGGAGAAGGACATAGGATACTTTCTATCATGTTCCCGTGGGACGCGACATAAAACGTGGTAAAAAAAACGCAACTGATATGGAATTACAAAATGCAACTGACAGCTAAACGTAATGTAGTCTATAGCTAATTATAGTAGTATTTTGAAGTTGACTGGTTGATGTGTTTGTTTCGAATTTCTATTTATTGTGCCGAGATAGGTAATCATTAAGAAAGCCTTGCCGCGACCAGCACTATCAAATCTTTTCCGACGAAGCCGTAATGCAACTAGGATTCGAAACATTGCGAGTGAAAGGACTGAAGAAGAACAAGAAAATACAATAATAATAATACCAGCTAAAATACATGGCCAATAAAGTATCTTTAAAATACTTGCTATTTTAATTTATATAAATTATCCAAATAAGAAATTGACCATGATAAAATCAAAAGTCTGCTCATCTATTGCCTATAAGGCGGAACAAAGTTTGCCGGGTCACCTAGTGCATTATAAAAAAGGAACAAGATCCTATAAATGATGGCAGCATTCCAAATTTAGAAGAGTTGATACAAAATGGACAAATTCCTCCTACTCATCATATTGCAGCTGATCTTAGTTATGGATTTCAGAGAAATTATATGACACAATATTTTGGAAATCTTACAAACAAATTAAAATATATGATTATTTAAAAATCTTTTTTTACCCTATAGATGAAAAGTAATGTTTTTGAAGTGAACGAGTGTTTGAGTAAATTTAAATTATAGCTCTATGGGTATCAAATAAAAACTTATAAATAACCAATTCCAAATTAATGTTCATTATAGCTCTTGCTACTATTTTAATACCAACCGAAAGAAAAGAAAGTTAATATTTGCGGTCAGATTTTTTTTTATTACTTATTTACCTGTAATCTTTAGTTAAGTAAAAATAAATTATTATTTTAAATAATTTTAATTGAAGTAAGACTTCATTCTTAATTTCGACTTCCTTTGTTGCTGCCTCTAATGAGTACTTGTAAAACTTTCTTTTATATTCTAATTCTTCCTGAAGAAGTTGTATTTTTATGTCTTCTATATCCTCTTTCTTTTTGTTCACGATGCGAACTTGTCCAAAAATAATTCTAAATTACTAGGGTTTGCAGAAGAGAGGTTTAAATTCAAATAATTGATCAAAATACGCAGCAGCAGATAGACCTTTATCTTCGTATTTTCTATTTAACAAATCAAAAATTAATGAATAATTTTCGGCGCTTGGAGTGATTCCCGCGCATATGGTACGAGCCCTGCCAATTAACTTGCCTATCAAATAATAAAGTCTCTATGTCTCCTATTCAATATCCTACATAAGCCCACTTCTCCCTTATATTTACGTGGGCGATTCTCTTTCATTCGTTCTCCTGATGCTCCCTGCAGGTCCAACCAACGTTCTGTTTTGTTATTCCCTTCCCACAAAACCAATTTCTATTCTCACTCCTTTACTGTGCACGCGGTCAGACTGTGGAATTCGTTGCCGGCTGACATCCGAGTTTGCAAGTCTGTGTCTGTTTTTAAATACAAGGTCAAACAATTTTATCTCTCATCAACCGAATGATCATGGTTCTATACTCTTCGTATATACGAGTGTTACTGTGTTACTTATAATATTTTGTACTCAAGTTTAACAATATTTGGTATGTGTATGTGCATTACTATAATTCTCATGTTGTATTTGTTATTTTAGTTATGTGTTATTTGTTCTACACACACTTATCACTTTTTATTATTATTCTCATTATCCTCTCGCAGGTCTGCTGGAAGAGATTTCTTAAAGAAATAAGCAGTGCCTTTGTACATAATTTTCCTATTACTCTGTACTATGTCTTTTTTTCTGTGTGTACATAAATAAATAAATAATAAATAAATAAATAAATAAAGTTTCTCAGGGTCCGTTAACGATATATTATTATGTACATTCCGAAAGCTAGAGATAAACAAAGGCCAGTTTTTTATATCGCCATTGAATTCGGGAATTTCTATTAGGGGTAGTGTTGGAACCCTATGTTGAAAAGCCTAACATGATCCCCCGTTTGCGATTGCGATTGTAACCTTTTGGCAGCTCGTTTCACGCAGCCTAAGAGATCTTCAAACGCCGTAAGAGGTTAATAATTAACTAAATAATCGGGATTAGTTTTTAACTCCGGCATGATTATTTTATCCAGCACACCTTCAAAATCTTCACGCAATGAATCTACTGTTTCAAAGTCGCACAAAAAAGCGTCAGCGTTGAATGACTTTGAATCCATATCTCTAACATGGCTAGAAATGCTTTGCATGTGAGAGAATATCCTATCTCTTTTAGCATATAATATGTTTAAATTAGCATCTGAAGGTGCCGTTTTAAGATAAACGTTAATAAAGAAGAAGACGTAACGTGGGACGCTCCCTGGCTAGGTGGTGCGATGACCTCCGAACGGTGGCCGGAAAGACGACCGGGCTCAGTGGTGTGGATTAGGAGAGGCCTATGTCCAGCAGTGGACGACTATGGGCTGTTGATGATGATGATGATGATGTTAATAAATGTAGGATTTAATTATTAGTAGCATTTCTAATTATTGTAAAACATTTCTGAAAGAGTGAAAGAATTCTGAACGCATGCTGTGTGAAAGGAACGGATGTAGCTCTATCTCTCGCTCTCGCACGACGCCGCCATTATGAGTAAGATGTGTTTAATGTGCTCTATAAGGAATTAAATAAAAAGTATAGTTAAACCCAAGAAGTAGTGATTTCATTTAGACCCACACCTACAAATTCTCGTTCGGGATACTCAGGAATATCAGGGTCTAAATGATTTAACGTATCTACACATATTTTACGAAGCTGTCGCGTGGTGTGAACAACGCCGCGGCCGCCATACTTAACCTGCGCCGACGCCACGCCGCCGGTTATCTTTTTCAAAGACGAAAGACGCATTTATACGACGATATACGACGATTCTACACGATGGCGGAGAGCAAAAACAACGATAGCAAGAATCTAATTTACACGATGGACGCTGTACCAAAGTTCACGGGTGATGACATCACGTACTCTTCTGCGAAGTGGACACAAGATCTCGACGATAATGCCGATATATTTGGGTGGAGCCAGCAGCAGAAACTCATTATAGCGCGACGATGTTTAGCTGGAACAGCAGAATTATGGCTAAAAACCGAAAAAACTTTCAGAAGTTACGAAGAACTAAAAGTGGCTTTGATGAAGGAATTCCCAGAGGTGATAAACAGTAAACAAATGCATGAGACAATGAGCAGACGGACAAAACAACCCAACGAGTCGTTTTATCAATATATGCTCGTAACGAAAGAACTCGGAAAAAGAGCTAAGTTTCCGGATTACGTCGCGATTCAGTCTATAATCGACGGAATATCTGACTATGAATCTAACAAGTTGTTATTTTACGGGGTAACGTCGTATTCTGTGCTCAAGGAGAAATTAGTATTATATGAAAGTGTAGTGTGTAAGTTAGTAGTAAGTGAGTCAGAAATATAGCGTTGTGCAATTAAGACGTGCATTTTATTATATCCCGCGAACCCCGCACACCGCATGGCGACCCTAGCCAGTCGTGCGTTAAAAATCGCCGCGTGCACTTGCACAGTTATATACGCACTTGCACCGTAATATCCGTTCGATATAAACGAAATAAAATGGGAAAATCATACTCAAAACAAGAAGAAAAAGAAGTCATTATAACACAAAACGCGGCTGCTGGAGAAAATAGCGCAACAGCAATCAGGGAAGATCATATACACACAAATAACATCCTATTAGGCACCCTAGTAACCATCGGGCTGGTGATTTTAATAATTCTACTTAAAAATTATAAAAAGTGCATGAAAAAGTGGATGCGCAAGGAGATACGCAATGAGATGTTCCAGAGAGTACAAGCAAGATGGACAAGGCGTGAGCAGACAAAGGCGTCCGGAGACGAGGAAGCTGCCATCTGAATAAGTGAGTGTAGTGAACAAAAAAAAAAAAGAATCCCGCACACCGCAAAAGATACCATGAGACGAGGTCAGCGAGACGCGGCGGTAATGCCTAGGATGAAGACGGAACCTGTGCCAAGGCAGGTTCATCGATGTTCAATTGTGGTGAAATAGGGCACCTATCTAGTTCCTGCCGCAAAGGTATCAAATGCTTCAAGTGCAAAGGGTTTGGGCACAAGGGTACGGAGTGCCGCGCATCACATGGTATGGAAGCTAAAAAAGCATCAAATAATTATTATGGAGGAGGTGATAAACAAGATCGGCGATCAATGTTTGTTCAACAGCAGGAGGACGACGAGATGAACGAGAACGAACTATACAAACGTGAGCAATGTGATTTAAATGAACAAGTGAGTGAAATGTCAAATTTTGGTTGTCAACAACTAATTCATATTGTTTCGTCAAATTTATTGAATGTAAACAAACGTGATTCTCTAAACATTAGTGTAAAATCAGTAAAAGTAGGTAATTATGTGACTAATTGTTTAATTGACACAGGTAGCGACTTAAATTTAATAACTTTTGATTTGTTTACAAAACTAAAATGCGAGTACATACCAGAAAAAATGTTGCTTACTGGGTTAGGAAGTTCTAAAGTATTTTCGATTGGTAAGTTCGACACAGATTTAACTATTGACAGTCACAGATATAGTATTAATTTGTATATTGTACCTACAGGTGGGATACCATATGATGTAATATACTGGGTCAACAATTTTTAGTAAATACTATCACAGTTATTGACAAGGGTTTAGTTGAGGTCAGGCCTTCTTGTTATGACATTTCGTATCAAAATGCTATCTGTCTATTTTCCAATGACCAGTGTACAGCGGTGAGGGAAATTATTGACAGTTACACACCTTTGAAGACTAAAGATGCACCTATCAGGCTGAAGATTGTGTTGAAGGATGATGTACCAGTTTCACAAAAACCAAGACGACTAGCCATCACTGAAGAACAAATTGATGATTGGTTGGAGCAAGGTGTTATTCGTCCGAGCTATTCATCTCCACTTGTACTAGTAAAGAAAAAGGATGGAAATATACGCGTGTGTGTGAATTATATGAAAATTAACCAGAAGATGGTGAAAGATTACCTGTGATTAAGGATCATATTGACAAGCTAAGTAAAGTAAATGTGTTCAGTACTCTAGATTTAAAAAATGGATTTTTTCATTTGCCGATTGAAGAAGAATCTGTAAAATATACAGCATTTGTTACTAGTAACCCTGAAGGCCAGTATGAATTTTTAAAAGCTCCATTTGGTCTGTCCATTTGTCCAAAGTACTTCACCAGGTATATAAACATAATATTTGCTGAGTTCATAAGAAAAGGACTGGTGTTGATATTTATTGACGACTTAATCATACTATCAAAAGATGAAAAAGAAGGTATTACAAGACTAAAAGATGTGTTAAGAGTTGCAGCAGAGTATGGTCTGGAAATTAATTGGAAAAAGTCACAACTACTACAGAGATCTGTTGCATATTTAGGTTATAATATTTCTAATGGGACTGTAAAGCCATCTATAGATAAAACAAATGCTATTATGACGTTTCCTGTACCAAAGAATTCGAAAGAAGTACACAGCTTTATAGGACTAACTTCATATTTCAGAAAATTTATAGAAAAGTATGCACTGATAGCTAAACCACTGAGTGACTTATTAAAGAAAGGTGAATTCAGTACTAAGTAAGAGTATTTACTATTTGCTTTTATTAGCTGTGTGCAGAGTTATAGCATGATTGTTTGTAATAAGGTTTAACTAAAAATACCTTGTAGCGTTATTATTGTGTAAAATGTTTAAAAAATAGCATAGTAGTATTAGGTACATTAAGGTAAAGTTAGAGATTTTATTTTTGTTATTTTTATTTTTAATTCAAAAGAATTATTTTATTATTTTAGTACTTTCAGACAGAGGCCAGACTGATGTGCAGGAAGTAGGATTTAATTATTACTAACATTTCTAATTATTGTAAAACATTTCTGATCGAGTGAAAGGATTCTGAACGTATGCTGTGTGAAAGGGACGGATGTAGCTCTATCTCTCGCTCTCGCACGACGCCGCCATTATGAGTAAGATGTGTTTAATGTGCTCTATAAGGAATTAAATAAAAAGTATAGTTAAACCCAAGAAATAGTGATTTCATTTAGACCCACACCTACATAAATATTTCAGATTAACAAACTAAAGATATTCGAAGCGGCGGGTGTTATTAACACACAGGAAAACGTTACTACTCGTCGCCTGGTGTTTTACCAGGGGCCGGAGGACGGATTACACCCGTACGTCCTGGCCCCTGTAGGTGGCGGCTTCCCCCCAGTGAAGGTCAAGCCAGCACTCTAGCGCGCTGCCGAGTAATAAGAGCGACCGGTTGGCGGTGTATCGCATCCCGACCCGGCAAGCTGGTTCTGGTCCAGCAGGGTATTTCGGGACACCAGCGGCACCGTCTGGGCAGCCTGACGGGCGGCCGTACCGAGACGGCCGACGTTTCAGAGCCTTCGATTCGCTTCGAAGGATCCGTCGGCTGGGCGTCCTTGGGGTGAGCCGCGCCGTCTGGTTGTAGTGTTGACTGCGGTAACCCCCCTACCTCATCCGGGTTCTGACCTCGGAGGGGATCGGACGTCGGGTGTAAGAGTGCAGGGGAGACGTTTAGTGGGTGGGCCTTAAAATCCTTGGGCCCGCGGTCTGCTCACAACACCATGCAGATCGTTGACTCTCACATACTCCGCGCGCCCCTTTTGCGCGGGGACCTCGTAGGAGGTTTGGCCCCCTACCAGAAAAAAAAAACACAACCACTTGATGTGGCCTGTTTTTCGACCGATAAAGACACGAGAACCCTCTCATCGTGGTCGCCGGTAACTACATTCCCGATCCTGCGGATAAAATGGAAAGCAGTCGACGTCGCCCCAAACACGTCCTGTCGGATCCTCCCGATCCACTAACGGTGCTTTTAGGTACCTCAAGCACCGGACATCGTTTTCGTCGAACCCGTCACTCGCGACGAAGGGTTCGACGAGTAAATTAGCCCTCAGACACAGCCCACTGAGTTCCTCGTCGGATCTCGGATCTCAGCTAGATCTCAGCGATCCGAAAGCAAGGAATTTGGAATGGCCGCAACACCTTAGGCTTAGTTGATGCTGAATTAGGTCACTGTAATGAATTAGCAACTAAAGCATATGTGATGATGCTTGTTTCTAATACTGGAAACCGAAAATTGCCACTCGACAATTTTTTTATAAATGGTCTCTCAGGAGATCTTAGAGCCAATTTGATAAGAACTTATCTGGAGAAATGCTTTCAAGTTGGTGTTAACGTCATCTGAACGTCACATATACTTCAGAAATCAAATTATGAAAGTTCACTTAGCTGTTCAGTTGTAAAGCAGAAGCGTAGCGAAATCACTAGAACACTCTTCACAGTAACTCAAAAATTGGAAAATTGACGATGTTGCCCGATGTATAAATTTTTAAGCAATCTCAATGACATTTTTGATGTCTTTAATCGAGCACATCAATATCAATTATAAAACTGCACCATATCGCGAAAATTCCGCTCAGACCCTACATTTTTTATAAACTATTAAAGAATGTATTATAAACATAAAGATTTATAATAACATAAAAAGAACAAAAAAAGGAAATATAAAAATAATTATCAATAGGTAAATAAAAAGCGTGTTAAATATCTGTGAGTCTAAATGAAGGACAGGGTTTATTGGATTTATTGTTGATAATGAAAGTCTTACGTATTTGTATGAGGCGTATGTCGAAAAAAAGCAATTAATGAGTTATATATTAGAGTTGTTTTTTTATGAAACAGCACGGGGGCTTAATAACAACCCTAATGCACAACAGATTTAATATATTTCTAATATGATTATTTGAGCGACCAATATCTAACTAATTAACCTTGCCTGGAAACGCATTAAAAGATCGAGAAGAATTAAAGAGACAACTCAAGCGCGGCATCTCTTCAGTCTCAGGTCCATTAGACGAGCATTCAAACGATGTCCTGTTTTTCTTCGATATGCCCGAAGCCTTAAGTCTTCATTTAACACCCTTTTCACCGTGGTTCTGCTTAACCCCATCTGAAGGGCCAACAGTTTCTGCTTACGTTTGGGATTTCTTTGAATTCGCGCCTTCACAGCTTTTATCACTGCTGGANACCCCATCTGAAGGGCCAACAGTTTCTGCTTACGTTTGGGATTTCTTTGAATTCGCGCCTTCACAGCTTTTATCACTGCTGGAGTCCTAACAGACCGAGGGCGACCACTTCTTGACCTGTCATCTACACTAGAGTCTTCATTGTATCGTTTGATGGTACGATAAACGAATCTTTTGGTTATATTAAATTTTTTCAGTATGTAAAAAATTTGAATTGCGCGTAACCGCAACGATGCAACGCAATAACTGCAACACGGTCTTCTTTAAGCGTCCACTCCATATATAAAAATGAGTAAAATTCTAAAAGTATACATTTTTATTTTCATGAACAATTCGAAATTCGAATTCAATAAACTTTTTTGTGGCCAGCATTCTAAAAGAAAAGTTTTAACTGTGTGACAATACTTATGACCTGACTAGGTATATTAATAATTTATTTAGAAGTATATTAAATCGCACTGGTGGTATAACGATCGGACCGGAACGAGTTGTTCGAGCCAAGGACTTGTGTTAGATAATATAGGTGGTTTATGGCTATGTCGGTTTCGTAACAAAAGTATTTTTACATGAAGGGGTTGTCAGCCCCTTGCATGAGGACCACACCCTACTTTACTCAGCGAGCCCATCTAACTTAGCCGGCAGCTAGCTAGGCTGTACACCGACCACTTCTATTCGTTATATGCTGTTCAATCTGGAACTTGAAATTTCATACGGAAAGTGAAACACACCTAACGGCGGAGTGTGGCTCAATGGACAGCATAAGGTGATCGGGTATGCCGATGGCCTTGCTCTACTAGGATAAAGAAAGCAGCGCGTAATAGACTCAATCAACTGCCTCCAATAAGAAGCCTCTCGGATTGGCCTTCGTGTGAGCCACGAGAAGAGATCTTCACATGTATCGATACAAAAACATTTGAGAAGACATAGTTGTTGGAAATATGAGGTACAAAGAAGTGGCCAGATTCCGGTACCTTGGCTGCACTGTAACATACACTAATGACAGGGAAGACGAGATCGAAATACGTGTACAAAATATCCTACGATACAGTGTAGCCCTATATCCGGTTCTCTGTTCGAAGTTACTAAACAGGCGTACCAATATTCGGATATACAAGACTATAGTCAGACCGATCTTATTGTATGGATGCGAACCATGGACGCCTAGGGCTCTTTCAGAGTAAAGGCAGTGTGGGCGCGGGTGCGGGTACGGGTAGATCAAATGCATCTAGACGCCTCTCGCTTTCACAATGGTCGCGAGTATGTGCTAGAGATGAGTCGGATTTATTAGAACAGATACGAGTATTAAGTATTTTACGAGATTGTGTATAATCCACCTGTTTCACCTAATCTTCGTATTCTTAAAACATATTCGATTCGTACTGAATTCGTGGAATTCGTTATTCCTTTCGTATTCTTACATTTTTTTTCTGACCAGATATGGGTAGTTTTTTAATTAGTATATATATGAAATGTTATTATGGACGAGAATTGAGTCACTAGTATAAACGCGAATGAGTATGTATGGGTCTTCGGCGATGCGTGTGATGGAGAAAAGATATCTGAGTAGGCGCCGTCGGTGGTCTTTTGGGTGGTAAAACAATTTCAACACCTTGCACACTAATTAAATGTTTATTACAAGTAAC